GGCTTCGGAGAGGGTGGATCTGACCTGGTCCTGAATGGAGTTTCACTCCCTCTTAGGGACAAGGTCAGCAGCTTAGGAGTACTCCTCGACCCGGAGCTTTCATTGGAAGCTCAGGTGACAGCGGTGGCGAGGAGCGCTTTCCTTCAGCTTCGGCTGATCCATCAGCTGCGCCCCTACCTGGAGTACAACTGCCTGGCGACGGTGAGACACACGCTGGTGACTTCCCGCCTTGACTTCTGTAACGCGCTTTACGTGGGGCTTCCCTTGAAGACGGTCCGGATACTTCAATTGGTTCAAAATAGAGCTGCCAGGTTGCTGACGGGGACGGAGCGTTATGTTCACATGACTCCAGTCCTCCGTCAGCTTCACTGGCTTCCCATTGAAGTCCGGGCCCAATTCAAGGTGTTGGTGATGACCTATAAAGCCCTAAACGGCTTGGGTCCTGGTTACCTGAAGGAGCACTTACATCCATATACGCCCGGCCGCCCCTTGAGATCTGCGGGAGAGGCCCTTCTCCGGGAACCCTCCATGAAAGAAATTAGGAGGGTAGGTACTCAGAGGAGGGCTTTCTCTGCGGTGGTGCCCAATCTATGGAATGTGCTCCCCAGAGAGGTCCGCCTGGCGCCGTCGTTATTTGTTTTTTGGCGCCAGGTGAAGACCTTTTTATTTAAACGTCATTTTAATTGTTAAAAATATTTGCTTATTTATCTGGCCAGGGCGACTTCTTTTATATTGTTACTTCTTTTATATTGTTATTTATTTTATATTGTTAATTTTATATTGTTATTTTTGTATTTTATTGTGTTGTAAGCCGCCCCGAGGCTTCGGCAAGGGGCAGCATAGAAATGTTTTAATAAATAAATAAATAAATAAAAATACATATACAAAAATGTCTCATGACGTTTTTTAAAAATTACTTGAACACAGCTGGGCTGATTTGAGGATTTCTTTAAATATTTTAGTTTCATTTGTCTGGCAACTCAAGGTCCACAATTTATTGCCATTCTGAACTGAAATAAGTATAAACAAATTCACTGAAGGTTAAATGATACACAGCAAAAAGCTGCCAAAATCACACTCGGAATCAGTAAAACTAATTTTGCTATGCAAGTTTGAATTTGTTTGGGTCTCTCTGACCTTCTTTGAGCTAGGATGCCCACATTTCACCTCTGAAAATGCAAATCTAACTTTGAAATCAATGTCAAAATGAAAAGCTTGCAATTTGCACAGCTCAAAGCAATCTGTGCAGAAAGGTGATGATTTCAGAACTAGGAAAAATGCTTAAATTGTTTGGAAAATATAAATACTAGCCACACTTAGGCAGAAAATTTAGGTTAGTAGGCAGAAAGGTATTCCATACTGTTATATGGAGGAGTACTTAAAATGGAATGTCCCCACAACTATAAATATGCTGCTTACGGGCAGCCAGTGTGGTGTAGTGGTGGAATTGGGACTCACATGATCTGGGTTCTAGTCCCCACTCAGCCATGCAGCTCAATGGGTGAGTCTGGGCCAGTTACAGACTATCAGCCTAACCCATTTCACTGGGTTGTTCTTGTGAGGGTAAGATTGAGGAGGATTATTTAAGCTGCTTTGAGTTCCCTGAAAGGAAAAAGGTGGAATATAAGTATAATAAATGTAATTTAAAATGGACATTTCTTAGATAAAAGAATGTGTCTCTCCAACATCTGGTAAGAAGAGGTATGCTCTCTGAAAAGTGATGGTGCACCCTATCATAGTCAACATAGCACAAACAAATTCACAGAAGAGATATGTCTTGTGTTTTTTAGAAACTGGCATTGTTCAGCTACTGAAAGGCTGTCACAATAATGACATCCTTGCTGCCCTGAAGGGCAGGTCTAGGTCTAATGACCTTAAATTACAGTCCAGCAGATTTTGGTTGAACATGAGGTGGACATCTTGATGGTAAGAGCAGTTTGACAAGTGAACCAGTTACTTGGCAGGGTGGTGGGCTCTTCCTCACTGGAGGTCTTCAAGTTGTTGGGGAACTCTATCTGCATACAGGTCTTAACACACTTGATGACCAGGAGTTCTAATATTTCCTCTTCTAAAATATTTACATCATCTTCAGTTTTATACTTCTCCGTCATGCACCCATCTACACTGGCAGGCAACAGAGCAACAGGCTCAGTTAGATACTCAGGAAGGTTTTAAGGTAAGCACAGTTAACAAATTAAAAATTGTTCATACAGAAACATGGCTAGGACCACGGCCTTTGTACCTTTGGCTCATTTATTATATAAATCAATGAACAGCAAAGCTGCAGCCAAAAAAAAAAAAATCACAAATTTGACACACTACTGGAAGAAGTTTGACACTACATTCTCATCATCATTCAAGGTACAGAAAACTCACAGGGCTAAAATAATACCATTCATGTGTAAAAAGAATGCATCACCCAACTTATGGAAAGTTTGGTTTGCGGAGTCTTCCCACTTGCAGAAGGCTTAATGGCTGAATTTCTTTGTTTACTGAGGAAGACAGATTGAAGTGGCCCCACTCCAAACACCTACCAAGCACTGGCTCCATGGTTGGGTTTCTAACCTCAGAAGTGTGCTAGCTGTGAAGACAGAGGGAGGGTTCACCATGGTCGGAGTTCCAGCTCCAACCTCAAAGTGCATTTCTGAGATCCGAGCTGTGACTCTACCCTCTCCAACAGGCTCTCTAGACAGCCTTCACACCGTCTAGCCAGCCACAGAACTGCATGCTTAATATTTTCACTGTTTTTCACATTCCTGCTTTACTGTTGCAGGGTTTTATTGCTTTTAAAAATATAAAAATGGCAAACTACAACCATCAAGGTGCTGGAGCAAGTCCCCTGTGATGAAAAGTTGCAACGTTTAAGATCCTTTCGCTTCAAGGGAAAAAGGCAAGTAATGGGGCAAGAAACATGATAGAGATTAACAAAATTATGCATGATGTGGAGAAAGAAGAGAGGGAGACATAGTTCTTCCTCTCTCATAATACTAGAACTCTGTAGGATCATCTCATGAAGCTGACTGATGGGAAATTCAAAACAGATAATTGGTCATACAACACTGGAATTCACTTCCAGGAGATGTAGAGACGGCCACCAATTTGGATTACTTTAAAAGAAGGTTGGACAAATTCCTGGAGAAGGCTATCAGCCTGATGGTCATATGCCATCTTAGGTATCAGAAGCAAATGCCTAACTGCACCAGCTGCTGTCACATTCATGTCCTGCTAGTGTATTTCCTGTGGGCAGCTGCTCAGCCGCTGTGCGAACAGAATGATGCATTAAATGGACCCTTGATCTGATGCAGCATGGCTTTTCTTATGTTCTTCTGCTGTGCCTGGTATTTTAAGATCTTTTGCCCCAGTTATTCACATCCCATCTCACCCCACTCCTCCAATATCCATTTTTAACTCTGCTGAATGCCATCAGGATATGACAAGTTGGCACTCCCAATCAAAGAAAAGGCAAATGTCCACATATAATGGTGTAAAGAAACACTGGCATGCATCAGAACTAGGAAATACCTTAAAACGAGAAAGAAGCACATATTGTACCTAGTTCTTTGGTTATACAGTAGTTCCTAAATATTTACCAACTTAGAAACAAGAGAAATTAAAAATATCTGCTATTTCTGAAGTTTCATGAACATCATTTTCTAAGTACAGCTAAATATAACATTTTATAGATTCTCAGTATGCTATTATCCATTTTCCAGCAATGACATCCAAATTGGGTAACAAAAAATAATTGAAAGTGTTTGAATGATGGAAGAAACAGTATTATCTTATCATTCAACTACACTGTCAATAGCAGCATTGATAAGGGAGGGAAAACATTATTAATGTTTAACTGCTGAACCACAGCATTCAAAGAAAGCAAACCTGAATCTAGTCTTCCACACTACAGAGAAACCACCCAAATCCCACTGTTTGAGACACTTGTTAATGTCAATAACACAGGATAAAGTTAAAGGAAAATGGTATTGCTGCTTAGCATATAATCCTCAGGTGGAGCATTTTTTCCTTGGACAATGATAGATATATATTTAATATCTTTTTAACTTCAGAGAATCATAGAATAGAGTTGGAAGCGACCAAGAAGGTCATCAGGTCCAACCTCCTGCTGTTGCAGGACACCACGTTACACCATCCCACTCAGATGACTGCCCAGTTTCTTTTTGGATTTCTCTAGTGTAAGAAAACCCATGACCTCCCTAGATGACTGGTTCCATCTAGCCTGAATCTGGTTGTTGCAACTTGAGCTGATTATTCTATGTCCTAAACTCTGGTTGAGTGAGAAGAGATCTTCTCCTTCGCCTTTGTGGCAACCTTTCAAGTACTTTGAAAGTGATATTATGTCCCCACTCAGTCTTCTTTTCTCAGCACTGAACATACCCAGTTCTCTCAGTCTCTCCTCACAAGGCAATGTCTCCAAGCCCTGGATCATTTTGTTGCCCTTCTCTGCACTCTTTTTCTGCATCTTTCTCAAATCTTGGACACAATATTCACCTATCATTGTTTACCCACATACGCTGGTCTACCATGCCAATCTTTTACTGTTCTAAAATTGGGATTAAAAATAGAAGACATTTAAAATATCTACCAATAACCAAATAGGATGCTGGCTGCTGGGCAGGTATAGGATTAACTAAGGCACATGAGTGAAAGTATGCACCTGAGAGAAGGAAAATAAATGGATATGTGGAGTGGCTTTGGCCACACCAACTTTGGATTTTGGCCCTACCCAAAAAGTAATGTGCCACACTAGCCCAAGACAGAGAGAAGAGAACTGCACTCAGCCAGGATACTTGGCAGTTCAGACCTCATTAAAACTTGCAAACACTCATAAGAGTTGTCTTGGTGCCATCATTTCAAGTTCCAAGGTCAGTTCTTTCAGAAGCATAAACAGGGTATTTTCTTTCTACCATGTGCTGTCCATTTTGCAAAGAAAATCCCATTTAGATTCCGTATGATCAGAGTTCTAGGAAATTATGCATACGTACCCTGCGTTGTTGCTGACAGCGGTTATCCCTTTGACACCAGTTTTCAGCAGAGCTCCTATGAGGTTCTCGGGAATTCCGCAGAGCCCAAAACCTATGCAACACAATTTTGCTGCCATGAACATCTCAGCTGTACAAATGGGACCACTACCCCAACAATTCACACACCTCTGACAACAGTCACTGCTTATTATACCTTGAGGGAAACCCCACACCCCACTAACTCCTACCCCCTGGTTCAGGAAAAGGGATCTCTTTCATATCATGAAGCAGACAAGAGAGGTTCAATGGATGGCAACAAGAGAAAAGGCCTTTCAAATGGTGGCCCCCGCAAGAGAGTGGAATGTTCTTCCCAGTAAAGAATTCCCTCTATTCCTAGGGTGGGCTGTTTAATATATCAGCTCAATTGTATAGCCATTCCTGATGTTTTAATTGTTTTATGGGTGCTGGTATTTTAATGGCTGAAGCTGATTTTATAGGTCTTAATTCTACTGTAACTCACCTTGGGACTTTTTTTGGGGGGGTGTGGGGGAAGGTGTCTGAGAAATTTTAAGGCAACACAAACATGCACACACATGTACCCTGACCCAAGTTCCTTCATATATGCTGGGACAGATAACATTTTTTGACTGTGGACACATTTGGGAATTTGAGAAAAGGGCAAAAAATACTGCCATGATTGCAAGAACAAGGCAGAAAGACTTAAGTACAAGGCAGAGGTGGGGTCTGAGCCCCAACATGCTACATAACTCTCTTAAATTCTCAATTTTCAGCACAAACAAAAATTTCACAGAAATCCCAGAAACATTAAAAAAAAGTGAAAGGAAGCCAGAACTGGTATGTGGGGATGCATAACTCTAGCCTTCTCTTGGCAAAGGAAGTATACTTCTAGAGTTAACCAAGATTGCTTATGTCTGTAACAACTCTCTGCCTTTAGGAATTTTTATACCTCATCTTAAGAACAAATTCTGAAGAGTCACCTTGTCCTGGAAACATTACTTATAGAAAGTTATTTTGCGCTCATTTTTACCCTGAACTGCACCCATAACTATTCTAAGTTTTCAGGGAAGAACATGAGTGTCATGGCTACCATCCTAGAAAGTTCAAACATACAGAAGCCCACTGAAGACAATATGCTATTTATACACCAGTGTTTTTGCAGACTTAAGTGTACCAGAGTGATCAAGCGCTCAGGTTCTCGTAATCAAGAAGAGTAGGTGGTGAGACACAATGGCTCATGCTAAGAGACCAAAGCAAACCAATGCTGAGTTTGCAATCAAAGTCAAGCCCTTTTTGAAACTCCTACATTGCATTTTCATTCATTTTTATTGTGAGTTTCAAAAATCAAAACAAAGCCAAAAATAAAACACAGTGAAATAAACATGAATTCTTGCATGAAATTTGAGTGAATATATTGCAATGAATACATTCTATTGTACACATAGCAAAATATATTACTCTTCTTGGGGACAGTCACATATAGATTTCAACAAAGATAGCCCAGATAGTTTTGCTTTTGCCCAAAAATCCCCTGAACTGCATGTGGTTTGAACGCATGGAGGAAATACAAGTCATACCCACTGACCTCATTCCCTGACCTCCACACAATGAGAAGAAGGTCTGAAAAAGGTCATGTCATACAGCTGCAGACATAGACTCTTCTCAACACTGGGCTCAGGACAATCTTGACTGCCAAAGCAGTAGCGAGCCAATGTACCCAGGAGCCCCTTCAGAGCTTCTGATGAACACAGTATGGGCATGACCTGAAGACACACTGACACTGGCAGTTTGGTGAGGCTTAGAGTTAATACCCTGACAAGGTCACTGACAACATCTGCCCCCACTGAAATCCCCTGATCAAGAAGGAAGTTGGATTTTCCCAGCAACAGGATGTTGCTGTTAGCTATCCCAGATATTATGCAAATGGATGAGGCAGCTTGATCCTGAAACCCTGCTACTTCTGAAAATGCAAACTCCTCAAACTGTTATGCTGATACGGAATAACACAGGTGCATGAACTTTTGGATTGCTAGTATCTAGAGGGTGCTTGTGATGAGCAGATGCACTTCAAAATTTACCACTACACCACTGATGGATACTAGGGCTCTGCACATTCAGTCAACACATGGGAAAAGTCTGAGCAGGTTTATAGAAAAACAAGAGATAAACATAGAAGAACAGAAGTGAAATTCCATTCCTCTCCTGTCAACTGCCTGAAAATCCTTCAGTAAGGTCCAAACATGGTCATGAAGGAGAGCTTGTGAATACCAAGGACTGACAGGAAGACCAACAAGTCAGTACTGAATCAAATCAAGCCAGACTTTCCCTCAAAGCAAAAATGACAAATAAGCTGTCATCCTTTGGATGCATCAAGGCAAAACTCACTGCAGAAAACAATCACGCTAAGGAAAGTTGAAGATTGAAGAAGAGAAGATAAACTATAACTGGTTCGATTCCATAAAAGAAGCTACGTTCTTGAGTTTACAAGAGCAGATTAGGACTACCTAAGACTAGACATTTTGGAGGGCCTTCATTCATAGGACATCCTAAGTCGGAGACAATTTGAAGGCACATAACAAGATCCATCGGAAATTTCCCATTGGCAGGAGAAACTGAAAAAGTAATTTCTGCAGGGAAGTGTAGCCCATTCCGGTACTTACCGCCCACAAGAAGAGTAGACCCATTTGGTATGTCTTTCACGGCTTCCACTGGATCAGTATAAAACTTGGTATTGTGACAGGCGCAGGTAGAAAAATAGCAGCCACAAGTCTAGAAGAGTAAAAGCAAATAGGAAATTGTTGGTGTACAGTTATTATGCACTGAACTATTTAAACAAGATGTCTCATTGGTAGTTTCTAGAAGGCACATATGTTGAGTTTGTCTGATCTGGGACGCATTTTGGTGCTTTTTAAAAACTTTGTACACAAAGTGATATTTCAACAGAGTGGTTTGATATACCTTGATTTATATATATACCCCTTGTGATTTTACCCAGCCCCCAATATCACAGAATGTGATACTGAACTTCCGAAGAATCTCAGCTTTTACTGGGGGGGGGGGACCCTCTACTATTTCTATAAATCCTATGGGAAAGAACCTTTACCTCTATCCTGCTTTTCAGCCAACAAAGTATTGTGTAAGAATTAAAACATATGTAGAACGTGCATTATGCAAAATATAATCAATCAAATCAGAGCAATGATCAAGAAAAGCCCCACAGAAGAGGATGGCTTTTAACTGTACTCTAAATGTATGCATGTGAAGAAACCAAAAGAACATGTGAGGAAGGCATAGGCAACACGCAGCTCCCGGATGCTTCCCCACAGCTGTCAAATTTGCTATTGCTTTAGCAATACAGCAAAAAGTACTGCACATTTTTATAAAAGTGGCAGATTGGGAAGTAGAATCACTCTCCTGGAAATGGCCTGGAAGCACATTTTTTATTGCCAATAAGGAATTCCCACATGTGCTTTGTTTTAAAAGGAAATCATACGCAGGCAAATTCTGGCAGCAAAATGGTTGGTGCAGGAATAATTTCAGACAAAGGAGATGGATGCAGTTCTCAAGACCAGCTGAAATTGCTCGTTGTACCATAGTACAGGGGTCTTGCACAGCTTTAGCACCATCACAGAGAAGGCTGATTCCCTGTAGCCGCCAACTAACTTCTGTCAGCAGCAGCACACAAAGCAGAACACCCTCAAGTGGTGAGCAGAATCATATGGAAATCAGAAGCCTTCTGGACAACTTGGGTCCACACTGTTTAGGACAAATGTGCAGAATTTAGCTTTTATGCACCTTTTTAGGGATATAGTGAAGAGGAAACAGAGTCCTGGCAACAGTATCCTGTTATAAAGGTATTAAAAACCTTGAGTTACAATCATTTCTCGATGTCAGTCAGTCTGACACCAAATAATTTTTCCTGTTAATCTTACTTGCATGGAGCAAGAAGTTGTAGTAGTGAGGGATAGGCTCCCTACAGAATTTCAAAACTTGGTATAACAACACATGAAACAATTCTAAAATGAACAGCATCAGCCTCCAAACAAAGGGTACTTTCTATTGTTCCAACATGGTGCCTGTTTCTACCTGCAGCCATCTGAATTCCATCAGCTCACCACCCAAACTGGGATGTTTCTAATATGCCACTGGACACTTCTTCTGACAGCCATTCGTGGTGAACATCAAAATCAGAAGAGCCATGATGTATCAGACCAAATACCTATCTAGTCCAGCATTCTGCTCAAACAGTGACCAAACAGCTGCCTGTTGGAAGACCACAGAGAATCTAAGTGCCATAGGACCATCTTACTCTTATTCCCCATAGAGGTGTAGTATTGAAAAATCGCCCATTCTATATGGATAGATGTTGAAAGAGGGTAGCAAAGCAAAGGAAAAATCAACTTAGAAGAAAAGTTCAGTGCTCATTTGATATGTGGCTGTAAGGAACACAGTGGCAGAAGTTTACACTCAGATGTCCTCAACAGACACATGACCAAAACATTTGACCACAGAATGGATCAAGAATGGATAACACCGAAACTTGTTTGATGCGGAGAGAGAAGAGAAAGCTGTGGCTGTCTTTTCAAAATCACATAACTGCTTATACTTGGGTGACTGAAAATAAGGTTGCTGAAAGAGATAAGTATTACAAATGTAAGTAAACTTAGGCAATACAGATTGTGATAGCAATCTGTACATTTAGCAACATTTTCAAGGGAAGAAAAGAAAATGATACTATCTCAAGCATCCTCTGGGAAAGTTTCTGCAGACATACAATAAAAGCAGATTTCATGTCTGACTCAACGCCTGCATTACACAATGACAGCTTCAGTATAGCCTGAAGTGCTTGATCCTTGGACACTAAGCAGGGTGAGGCCTGGCTGCAACTTGGATGGGTGACTTAAATGTTGTGAACCATCCAAAGAGCCTTGGCTACAGGCAGTATAGAAATGTAATGTAATAATAATAATTAATACTATAGTCCTAAAAAGATGGACAGTGCAATCATATGTGCATAGGAGCATCTAGAGGGCCAAGGTTTTTTTTTCAGAGCCCCAGTTTTGTTCTCAGAAAACTGCTCTGAGGGCCAGAGAAATTTGGAAAGGCCAGAGAAATTCTGGAAATTTTCCCCTCCACAGCTGGTGTAGGAAAAAAAGTTTGCTAGGTGTTTCTCCGAGGTTGGAGAAAGAGGTTAGTGGGGAGAAGTGGAGAGCCTGGCACAAGACAGGGGAAGTGTGGCAGTTAGACAGCAGAAATCAACCATCTAACTGCTTCGCAGGGCAGAGAGCAATTTTCACCTCCATGTTCCTTGCCCTGCATAGGACGCTGTTATCATACAAGTTCAGAGTGTGAGGGACAATTCCACTAGATTACCCTGTCATTTCAGTTCTAGGGCACAATCAAATGCTTGTTTCCACCAATAAAAAAAAGGTCCTACAACTCTCAGGATGTCCCAGCCAACTATGCCTATAGTTGCACAACATTCTTCGGTCTTGGTAGACATAGCATTACACCTTTCGGTTACTTCCAGTTCAGACTGCAATCCTCTGAACAGTACTGGGGAATCTGTTTCAGTGAAGCCAACAAAATTCACGTCCAACTTCAAGTAATCATACCAGGGATTACACTGCAAGAGTGTGTTGGATCCCACTGCCAATGTTATTCTCTCCAGACACAGAGAATATAAACACTGGAAAGAAAGCCAAAGCTATTGTCGTGTCAGCTATGGCCACCAGAAAACATTAACTAGCCAACAGCAAGGGCGACCAGCATTGTATCTTTTATCCAGTTATTATAGCTTTGCCATGGAGGATAAGGGTATGAGTAGCTACATATTACTTCTAATATTAGAGGCAGTATGCCTTTCAATACCAGTTGTTGCAGAACGCAAGTGAGAGGGAGCTAGTCAGCCCAATTTAAGGTGCTGGTATTGACCAATAAAGCCCTAAATGGCTTGGGACCAGGATACCTGAAGGAACATCTTTTTCCCTATATGTCCTCCTGCCCCCTAAGATCTGCAGCAGAGGCCCTGCTCCGGGAACCCTCCTTGAAGGTTAGGAGAGTGAACACCTGGAGGAGGGCCTTCTCTGCAGTGGCGCCCCAACTGTGGAATGTGCTCCCCAGAGGGGTTTGCCTGGCACCAACTTTATATGCTTTTTGGCATCAGGTTAAAACCTTTTTATTTACCCAATATTTTAAAGTTTAAATATTTTAATCTGGTTTTATTAACATCCTCAGTCATATTTTATTTTGTTATTGATTGCTGTATTTATTGTTTATTTATCACACTACATGCTGTCCAGAGACAATTGGTATAGGACAGAATAAAAATAGCCTAAATAAATAAATATTCCCCTCAAGCCCTGCTTGTGGGCTTCCAACCTGCATCCTTCAGGCCGCTGGGAGAAGAGCAACCCTTCTAATAGTAAACTCAAGTGGGGAGTCCCAACAGGGAACTTGCTAAAATGGAACCACAAGAAACAAGATTTGGGGAAGTACAGAAAATCCTTTTTAAAATCCTAAGGAGACAAAAAAGAAAAGAAGGGAGCAGGGAGTGTAAGCCACAGAATGTAGAAGAACGGGTAAAAGATTAAAGACAGCATTAGGATAAGGTGTAAATGCTGGAAGAGGAGTGAGGAATGCCTCACTTCGAAGAGAGTCTGAATATCCTCCTTGGGAAAGAGAATGCACTGCATTTGTTCGTCTCTAAAGAAAACATCCTATTTAATCTTACGGCTCCCTAACATTGTCCAGGCAGCCGTAGGATTCCCCACCACCACCATCACCACACACACTGATTCTTAAGTATTGGTTGGGCTCCAAACAGAGAAAGCCATCTATGGAGCCAGCATGGGGTGGTGTTCCAGGGGGCAAAGGCAGAGGAGCAAGGCACCACAGTCCTCCAAGGCACCGTGGCCCTCCCAAGAGTCCTGAAATCAGCCATCTAAATGTTTTGGAGGGTGGGAAGAATACAGACTTCTCCAATCGATGTTTGCAAATTTCTGAGTTCTGATTGTGACAAGCAGCCATGGTGGATGTTGCAGTTAAGTCTCTGAACACAGAAGTTGACTGCTGCATCCCATATTTGCAATGTTTGTTTTCTGGCTTTAATTATATTGTTTTACTGCTGTATTTTAAATGGGTAAAACCACTGTGATATAAAGAGGAAGATACAGTTTTAAATAAATTAAATAAGAGCTAAGGGATTTGTAATAACACTCTAACAACAAATATGGCGGTCACTTCACTGAGGTTTTAAAATGGGAATAACAGATTCCTTACTCTGAAGCAAATTCCACTGTGTTCAGTGGAGTTTATTCACGAGTTAATGTATTCAGAGGAGCAGCTTTAGGCTATAATTCCATGCACACTTAGCTGCAAGAAATTCCATTGGAAACAAATGAGGCTTATTTTTAAGCAGACATGTATGCCTATGACTATTTTGCTAATTAACGAAACTATGCATCTTCCATGACTTTACTACCACATTTTACCCAGTTTTCAAAATATTTGAGATGTTTCCTTGCCAGATCTACTAAGTGAAAGTGCACTGTGATTGTAATCAAACTATAATTCCCCATTCCAAAATCTGTTTAAATGTGGAGTACAATATGAACATTGCATATGAATACAGTGAATAAAGAAAACAACAACCACAAAAAGCAGCTCAAATGTCTTATGATTAAGTAGAACAGGAGCACGAATACTACTGCTTCATAAGAACCTTCTGGAAAAGTTCTGCATAAGACAGTTGACAAAGAAACCAGCCAACAATTTGTTCTCCCCAGCATGGAAAGTCACATGCCCTGTTTCATCAACACCACTACAACAGCAGACGTCCTAAGCAACCAGTTCATCACCTTGCACTAAACAAGGTCACATTTCTCAACCATATGGTGTCTAGGTTAAAGAGTCCTTTATTACCTTGGCAAACAACACAACCTCCAACCAATTCTGCAAGGAGACTAAACCTCTGCAGGTAGAAACTTCAAGAACCAATATCATGCTTATTAAAAATCAGATTTAGAAAGTAAATTCAAAGGTAACCTTTTGGGGGTGGGTCCTAAACTGCCTTTGAGTGACACAGGTAGGCAGAATTCAAGGTCAGGACACCCCCACTCCTTTAGAGAACCCATGTCATTCCCAGATAATCCTGGCACAGAATCACCGAGGGACAAGGGAAAGAAAATTATAACTGACTCATCCCACCAGGAAATAGCCACCTGTTTCAAAAAGGCCAGACTTGTGGCTGATAATGTGGCTGCAGGAAATAGGAGAGCAGGCTCTGCAGGCTGCAAAGACAGCCATATGCCACCTGCAGGCTACCCCATGTGCTTCAAACATAGGATTTACATTACCTTAGCACAGGCTCTAGAACTGGGTGGAGAGGGACAGTGTTGAGAAGGCCTGTAGCAGCCTCCCAAAAGGTAGAGGATGCTAGGTACTCACTCTCCATTACCCAATTATTTGTAGAGTATGTGTGGGAACTTCTGGTACAAATGCCATACATGGCACAGGAAGACAGGGGCTGAGGCACTCCTGGAAGGAAAACAGAATAACCCACAGGGCTGGCTGTGGTCCCAAACCAGGGCAATTCCAAGAATTTTGGAATTGTTACAGCTCACAAGCTAAATATGAGTCAACAATGTGATGCGGCTGCAAAAAAGGCAAATGCTATTTTGGGCTGCTTTAACAGAGCTATCCCTTTCAAAGCACATGAAGTTCTAGTACTTCTCTACTTTGCATTGGTTAAACTTCATCTGGAGCTGCATCCAGTTCTGAGTACCCCTAAGATGCAGATAAACTAGAAAAGGTTCAGAGGGCGGCAACAAGGATCTGGGGACTGGAAACAAAGCCCTATGATACTAAAAGAATTGGGCATGTTTAGCCCTGAAAAGTCCTTCATGTTATCAAGACTTGAAAGGCTGTTGCAAAGAGGAAGATTTTATTCTATGTATAGGATGGGATGCAACTGTTATAAATAAATAAGAACAGGCCCTCTCCTCAATCATCCCAGAGCACAATCTGCTAAGACAGCATGACAACGGAACCAATTACCTAGGGAGGTTGTGGGCTCTCCTACACTTAGAGGCACTCAAGATGTACCTGGACAGCAATCTGAAAAAGTTGGTTTAACATGGAGTCCTTCATTGTGCAGGAGGTTGGGCCCAATGGAGCTCTTGGCCCTTCCAACTCCACTACTCTGTTTCTATAAGTCTGTGCTGCTACAGCCGCTTTCTTCTCAGTGAAGTAGTCTTGCTCCTGTCTCAGCATAGTAAACTAGAAGCAGGACCACACAAGACACATATGGGCAGATCACCAGCTTCTTGGCTCTTCAGGCAATCCTCATTTGGCACCCAGGACCTCTTACCACTCCCCAGCTGTTCTACTTCCCCCTTTACAGCCAAGTGGCACTAAAAACAGTTTAAGAGGATACAAACTGTGTCCAGCACCAAACAGCTAGATAGCAGGAAATGCATCATGGAATCTCAGTGCACCAGGGAGAAAAGTTAAAACCTCCCTGCCTCTGCATGGCAAGAGAGTGTGCACACGGGGTAACTGTGTGTGTGGCTCTGAGTGAAGGAAGACACAGAGATTATATGCCTGTCTGAGAACAGGGGAGAGCCCACACCTTCATCCCTCATTCGCATGTCACCTCTGATCCCTCAAGTATCAAAAGTCTGCCAGACCTGACTTAAGAAACCAGTGCATATTTATTTTCTTAATAATTTGATATGACATTGATGGACTATTTGTGTTTGTTTTTATTATTCCCTTAAAAACAACATTTTCTAAATGCAAGTACCTATTGAACGTGCCTACCAAATCTTTGGATTTAGCTTTATCAAAGGCCACCAGTATTCTAAAACCCAAATAATTCCAACTGCCTTTTTGTGAACCGCCTAGAAAACATCAGTTATTGGGTGGTAGAGAAGTGTAACAAATAAATAAAATATTATTGCTGTTCTCACTGTAGTATTTAAAAGCAGGTTATCCTCACACACCAGATCAGAAAGAGCCAGGAACTCAATCCTAAAGCAAGCAGATGTGGAAACAAGCACAATATAGGGAGAATTATGACCAGGCAAAGGAGCCTGATCCCAATCTGCACCAAATTTCTAATTTGCAGAGTCCTTTCTTTGTTTCTGGAGAGATGTCATCAATAAAGATCTATAAGGAGAAAATGTGCTGGACAAATTCTAACGTTTCTGGCCAATTTTGTGCAAAATTTCTTATACTTGCAAGAACCAGAGGCCACTAATCTACTTGAAATAGCAGTACTTAAAGTCAGCCATTTATTATTATATTAGATTTATATCCTGCTTTTTTCTTAAAACAAACTCAGAACCTGTTACATCAGTCTCCTGCTGCTGTTATATCTTATCTCCAACATGTAAGGTAGGTTGGCTGAGAGTCTATGAGTGCCCCAAAATCACCCAGTTGGCTCCATAGCTAAGTGGGAGCTAAAACCCAGGTTGCCTGAGTCCCAGTCCCACACTCTGAACCACCACAGCGTCCTGACATCTACACATACTAACTTTGGACTAAGTCCCGTTAAGTTCAGCGGGCATCGCTGCAGAAGAAAGACCTGGCTAGATCGAAGCTGTAAGAAGGCACCGTTCCAAGGACTGCTGAGAGATGGAACGAACAGACGGTTCGGCGCCCGCCCTCCACGCCGGGCCTACCTCCCGGATACTGCTACCGCCGCCTCGCTCGTAGCCTCCATTCCTACCAGGCCAGGCCAGGCGCAGCTGGATGAGGACTAGCCGTGGTGAAAAGACAGCTCCCTGCTTCCTCAAGGTCAGCCCAGTACCCAGGCGTCTTCTGTTTGCAAGCGCTGAAGGACACGCCGCGACGAGCGCGCCGGCCTGCTCAACCCGGGCCGGCTCGCAAGGAGGAAGGTGTGTCCTCCGTTCAGCTGCACGGACGCGCGGGAAGCGCTTGCCCTTCGGTTCAAGTCAACGTTCACTCCCCGGAGAAGCCCCCGGAGGTAGATCCGACCCTGCTAAGCGCAGAGGAAAGCAGGCCGGGCCAGCTATCGGGTAATGGCATGCGCTGGGAGAAGGAGGGCAAGGGAATGTCAGTAGGACGCGTTTCTATTTTAGGCTAAGAGTTGCCAAAAGGCCAAGAAGAAAAGCGAGGGGGACACACACTGACAGAGAAACCAACCCTGCTTCTGTGCCTTTAAGAAGTCAATATTTAAGGTGTGAATAATACTCTGCATTATTGCATGGCGCTAAACATGACCACTTGCTAATTGCTGCAAAGCGAGCGGCTCTTAAAGCGACAGACACGAAGGCTCCGATCCTAAGCTACGCGCACGTACAAACGACCATTGGTAGCATAGAGCAGATCCATTAGAACGCAACAGACATGTTAGAGACAACGAATTTCGCTCTCAATGGGTCTACTCTACGTAGGGCTGACACTACCACCCATAAGCTCCGCTCCAACGAGCGCGGCTTACTTCCGAGTAAGCATACGCGACGGATCGGGTCCCCCGCGCAGACCTGAAAGCGCGGCGGGGGGCAATCTTAGGCTCCTCCAAATGCCTCTCCGCGCCGCTCTTCCTACCTTCGCCTGGGCTCCGAGGGCAAGCTGCGCCGTGCCACGTCCGGCTCCCCTGCGAGAAGCAGCCAGGAGGCTGCGGGCAAACCGGGAGAGTAGGCTCTGAGCCGCCATCTTCCAGCTTGTGCGGCGTGCAGCGGCGAGGAGGAAGGCGTCTGGGCGATCGACGGTACTGGAGGCGAAGAGGAGGCAGCGGCCGCGACAGATGCCCAGCCCCTCGGCGCGATGCTGCTGGAAGGAAAACGCGCCCGGCTGGCAGAAGGGCTGGGAGGCGATGCGACGCTCTGACACGGGGGAGGGTGGGAGGCTCGGCTTTGACGTTGAATTTAACTCTTTGCAGGAAAGGGGCTGCGACGCCTCACGAAGGGAAAGGAAGCCCAAAGACGTAAGGGAGAGAAAATGTGAGGCAGGCTTGCCAATCGCAAGCCTCGCGCGGGTTTTCTTTGAAGTGGGACTGCAGGTTTAATGGCACTGAAGTGAAGTGAAGTTTAATGGCACAGGTTTAATGGCACTGAAAGCATACTTATGCTTTCCAAAAGCATAAGTATGTGGCCTGATGTCTTTCGGATGTTGCGAACAACAACTCCCAGCGTTCCTAAGGATTAGTTCTGCTGACTGGGGCTGCTGGAATTTGATGTCCGAAATAGTCTGAGGGCACCAGGTTGGAAAAGGCGGGCCAGTATAGGCTAGGCTGCAGGCGACTGTGCTTAATTGGGAAGCGACTTGAGTAAGCGCTTACAGGATTGACCAGCAAGGACTAGGAAATAAGAATCATCGAAATCACTGGATAGGAATCAATGTGATTGAGGCCAAATGAACTAATTCAAATCAGACTGAAAAATGGAACATGATGGTTTGGTTTTGGAGTTGTCCACTTTCAAACTGGTTGCTTTGGAAGCAGTTTGAACCACAGAAATTAGGAAAGTTTTCTTTCATTTTTGCAATCTGACACCATGGTGAAGTGTCACTTCCCAATTTCTGTATATCAAACCTCTTTAAAAGTTACACATGCAAACAATGATAATTGATTTGTCCGTTTTCTCCCTAGCTGGTCAGCAATGATATTTGGTTTTGATTGTGCAAAGCCCCAAAATCTACTTTTGTTGTAAGCCACCCCGAGGCTTCGGCGAATGGGGCGACATAAAAATGTTTTAATAAATAAATAATAAACTTTCTGCAGACTGAATTTAAAACAAAAACAAAACAAAAACAGGCTTTTCCATGCACTATTCAATGCTACCTAAGGAGATTGTGAAATAAGAACTCAAGAGTTCTACTGAATCAGACCTATGGGCCAAACCTCGGGTAGGGAATCTCAGCCTGAGAAATTTCAGTTCTGGAGAAGAGAACCCATGGTGGGCAGGAGTGAAATCAAAAGAGATAAGCCCAAAATACAAAAGTACAAGTTAGTTGTAGCTTAAAGCCTTACTGCCATGGCATTTCAGCCTTCTGGGATGAAGAAAGCACTGAACAAAAACTGGGGAAAGCACCAAACAATTAGTGGCTGGTGGAATTCCCTGCTGGAGGGCCAGATTTGCTCCCTGGGACTGAGGTTCCTCACTCCGGGCCTTTCTAGTCCAGCATCCTGCGGCCAGCCACTTGGCTCTGGGAAGTCCATAGACAGAATCTGATGGCATTCATTCTCTCATGCTGCAACTGGTACCTTAAAGGCACACTGCCTCTGAGCCTACCATACAGCCATCAGGATTAGTTGACAATGGACACAATAAAGCAAGCACGGGCTTTCTTTTGCTTTTTTTGCAGCTGCACACTGGACTGTTTTAACTGACAACAATCTGAGATCTCTTTCTGGGTCAGTCCTTATCAGCTAAAACTCCATCAGTGTGCACATAAAGTCAGGATTTTTTTTTACTCCAAAGTGCATCATTTCCCTTAGTTTTAAAAAGCATAGCTGTTTGTCTCTATTTGAGAGTGCGGGGGGGGGGGGCTGGGATTAAATGGTCCATGATGTTGTTAGTCGAGAAGTTGTGTCCAACCCATCAAGACCCCATGGGACAATATTCCTCCAGGCCTTCCTGTCCTCTACCATCCCCTGGAGTCCACTTAAGGTCACACCGACTGCTTCAGTGACTCCATCTAGCCACCTCATTCTCTGCCGTCCCCTCCTTCTTTTGCCATCTGTTGTTCCCAGCATCAGGCTCTTCTCCAGGGAGTCCTTCCTTCTCATTATGTGGCCAAAGTATTTGAGTTTCATCTTCAGTATCTGGCCTTCTAAAGAATAGTCAGGGTTGATCTCCTCTAGGACTGACCAGTTTGATCGCCTTGCGGTCCAAGGGACTCGCAGGAGTCTCCTCCAGCACCACAATTCAAAGGCCTCAATTCTTCAGCGCTCAGCCTTCCTTATGGTCCAGCTTTCATAGCCATACATGGCAAAAATGGTCCATATATATCCTTTCAACTCTATAATTCTTTCAGACAACTGTGCAACCCAAACCTAAGACTGTTCACTCAGAAGTAAGACCCAAAGAGTTTAATAGAATAATCCAAAAGTCCTAACCCTAAAGTAAGTCGCCTGAACGTAATAGGGCTTACATCACAAGTCTAGCAATGTACTGCTATTTTCTAGTAACTGTACTTGGGAATGTAACTCTGCTCTCTAAATTCAGTGGGATTTACTTGTGAATAAAAAAGCTGAGGGTGGGCTCCAGAACAGAAATAGCATATTGCAATTGTTGGGAAAATTTGGATAAATCCTGTCAGAAAAACATTACTTCTGTGTGCTTTTGCATTGTGGGATCAAATCCTATACTCCTTCTCAAACCAAGCTAAGTCACTGTTTAAAATTTCATTCCTCCCAGGCAATTCAGAATGGTGCAGATGCATTGCTTAGATGAGCTTATGAGTTCATGAATAGTTTCAGTAGCTTGAATTTACATGTCTAAGCAGACCTGGAGATGGGTTCAAGCTACTGAACTAAAGTGTCAATACAGGCAATTAGAAATATTGTAATCTCATTGTTACTGTGTGATTGACTGACATTCCTTTATCTGTTCTGTATGTGATGACCTCAGAATCTTATTGTAATCTCTACATTCTGTCATCAATTGCCCTGTACCTGTATGTGACTGGGAGTGTATAAAAACTCTCTAGTTGTGTTGAAGTTTTGCAGCAGAGTTCAGCTCTGCCTGCCCGGTAATGCATTATCCTGAGTATGGACCCGCGGGGAACCTGGGTAATACAATAAAGCCTCAGATGGTCTGGACGCTTGATCTTTTCCACGAACCCGAGTTTTACTTCCTCTTCTCAAATTGAGATTCTGGGATTCTGACACAGTCTTCTGAAACAGAAGCACATCTTTGTTTCACTTTCTTTCTTTCTTTTTTTTAATGCAGAGGGGCCAGATAGGGAATTTTTAGCATTGCACCAACTGCTACCTTTAACCTTTAAATCAACAGCTCTAAAACATCTTGTTTCTGTCAGTTGAATTATGGGGCCCCAGAAATGCCTCTCCAAGAAGAGATACTCTCCAGAGGAGGGAGCACCAGTAATGGGGCACACAGCACTAAAAGGGTGTTAGACTTTAAATACATGTTCATCTATAAGAAGCCATAAGCCTCTTATTTTTGCAGGCTATCCCACTGGAAATTGTCCCAAAGACCAGTTCACTGTGTCTCCTGTTCCTTACATTTAGTATATTTTGGTGGAATTCCTTCTTGTTTCCCTGCTTTTGATCCCTTTCTTGTTCATTGCAGGGCCCCAGTAATAGTCTCTTGGCTTATATCCCCAAAATCCTAAAGCTTGACCTATGAAAAATTATGTGTGCAGGAGAAATGATCTTGCACGTATTGACTAACTCATTATAGCCATGTATAACCCAAGGCAGCTTAGAATTCTTCTCCTCTCCATTTTATCCCTATAACAATCCTGAGAACTGGATTAGACTGAAAGTTGGTTACTGATCCAAGTCACCCAGTGAGCTTCATGACCAAGCAGGAACTAGAACTGGGATCTTCCAAGTCCTGGCCCAACACTCTAAAGAGCTGCCCCACATGGGCTGGTGGTTTCTTAGATTTAGTCTTTGTGCTTTGATGCCAATATGCTAAAATACATGTACTTCGTCACTATGAAGTCCTCAGTGCTGGGTAGCACTAATTTAACTTAAGAGTGCAGCACCGATCTCTCCTGTCATTGTCTGTTCTCTGTAGAAAAGAACAGTGCCTGAGGATATACACTGTGGAATTACCCTGGTTTAAAGCACAACTTTTAGTTGGCAGAACATGTAACAGCCTGAAGTGACCATCTGAAACCAGGACCGAATGCCTAGTCATGCGCCATGTGGTGTCATTTTTCAGTTAATGAGGAAAGAATAAATCGAGGGAAAGTAGGAGTCATAAAAGCATTTGGGATTTGATCTCCGTTTTTTAAGCATGTCATGGCAATTTGCTTATTTCACCTTATACAGTTATCACATAGATCCTTCCAGTTCCTGTTTATATAGATGAGAAACAATAAGCACCAGCACAACCTAAGAAAAGCCGTTCCATACACTGATCCAACTGTTTTGTGAACATCAGTCTAGCCGCAACATAATCTGTCTTCCCCTCCCCAAGCACGTGACCAATAAATATGCCAACTTGAGGTTAACACTTGATGTGTTTGATGAAGTGAACTGTCTATAAAAGCATGTGCTGCAATAAATGTGTTAGCTTTTTTGGTGCCTTTGAATTTGCTATATTTTCCATAACAGCCTAATACAGCTATGACCTCTGAACATAATATGTGTTTTCAAGTTTTGTATCTCTTTAAATTAATACTATGTGACCCCTGGTTGGCTGGGGAATGTGGAGAGTTGTAGGCCTTTTTCCTGTTCTGTCAGTGCTAGGCCTAAACAACCATCGCAGGCCTTTTATTCTGGCACCTGTGTTGTGTAGTGCACTGTAGTGGCTAAAGGAGCAACCCTATCCATGTTTAGACCAGAAAAAGGCCTACAGCTCTCAGAGAATTGTAGGACTTTATTTCTTTCTAAACATGCATATAGGAACATGCCTTGAGAGACAGAATTATTAGGTTGGAACTTTATCTCTGTCATGGCCTGAGACAAACTGCTACCCCTCACCACCTTCTCCTTGCCATCTACTACAGGGAAATAACTATACAGGTTTATTATCTCCCCTATGGGGTGGTTAGGAGGTTCAAAGCAAGTGCTATACAAATCTTAAGTTGTTGTTATTGTCACTATCATCATCAGATCATTCTTAGAGTTGTCTAGCTAGCCAGTAAGGCATTATAAAAATACATTAAATAAACAGTTTCTTCCTTTGTACAGTTTATCATTCTCTGTCCAGCTCTCCAGATTGAGATCATTTACATGTTTTTAATCCTGACCTCTAAAGTGATTGCACTTGCTCCCAGTTTTTTCTTTTAATCTTCTTTAAAAAGACCCGGCCTACCCACCTCCCACTGCTTTCAAAGTATGCCCCTGGTTCCATAATTCCTGTGATGACAGATGAGCTGGCACTTGTTTTTTGACCTGACACTGGCAGAGAGGTTTCAGTGAACTCTAACTGAAGCACCAAACCTATTTTTAACTAGTACTTGTCATTGATTTTCCTTTACTTACAAATCTCCCTTCTCCAGAATTAACCAACTGCTTCAAAAAAGTTTCAATAGAAGGTAGCAAACCTTAAGTGGTTTTTGTATTTTCTGTACTGTGCATTCTCCTGTCTATTACTCTCTTCCTGCCATAATCCAGGTTATAACCAGATATGGGTAGAAGTTAGCATTTGCAATTTTGGGCACAATCTAAGGTATGTTCATACAGAGAAAAGGCCGACAACTTCCTGCCAGCCAAACTAGCTCAGAATTATAAAACTTTTTTTATCTAGCATCCTTCACATTTCAGTGGCCACAGTCTAGCAGAAGTGTCATGACTAATAACCAAACTGCTCTTAATTAGGGAGGACTGGTTTCATTGTTTTTATTTACTCTTGTGCAGCCACACTGCACTATTAATTTGATTAGAAAGGCTGCTGGAGAAGGGGTGTTTTCACAGTCCAGTCACCTAGTGATGCTGAAGCTAGCCCTACAGAGGGACAAAGGTTGGTACTGGCCAAGAGCAGGTAATGGGAAAGGGGATGAATAATGATCATTTCCCTGTCTTGCTGCTTCCTAGTCATTTAGCAGCCCTGAGGAATCTTATGTGTAGTTTGTTCCCAAATCATACTGCAACCAATAACAATTTAGATCATTGTAACCAAATCTCATTGCACCACTCTCAAAATTTCAGTGGGGCAGGCAGTGTGCTATGCACATTTACTCAGAACTAACTTTTCCTAAAGTCAATTAATCTTACCCCCAAGTAGCTATACATGCAGAGTTTGCAGCATGACCAAACACTTTGTGCAACATTTGCAGGAAACAGTAGCTATTTTCAGGTTCTGATACTGAATGGGGGTAATTTACCACAGTTGTGTCAAAAGGAAGTACATTAAGTCTGCTCTAAGTTAATCATCATGCGCACTGGTCGTATAATATACTTAATTCTTAACCAAAATACTTAAATTTCATGGCAAAGCTCACTTGGCTAGAGCAATATTGGAAACCATCCAGAGAGCACAACGTGTTACACATAAATATTACAGAAGGAGTCATGTGTTCATCATTCAGAACTCAAGCCAAATAATTCTAAGAAAAAGGATTTCAATTAAACTTTAGGAAGACAGTCCTGGTAGTATGAACTACTAGACTGCCCCAGAAGGTGGTAGACTCCTTTATTAGACCTTTTAAGCAGAAGTTGGATGGCAACCTACCAGGGATGTTGTCATGGATTTTCTGTATCAGCAGAGGGTTGAACTTTTCAGATCCCTTCCAGCCCTATAATAAACTGTGGTAAGAAAAGGAAATGGAAGGAAAATCAGCTAAACTGGAAGAAATATCTCAACAACACATTCTCTGACAGGTACCATGAAAGCTTTCAGGGCAGGCAATTTTACTGGTAAATGTTAGGATATTGGATGAGGGAAGATGCTGATTCATAAAGGTCACACTCATCTGTGACCTTTATTGGGTGACTTTGCGGCAGTCACCATCTCTCAGCCTAATCTACCTCACAAAGTTGTTGTGAGGATAAAAGAGGGGTCATGAAGATCATCATTTATGCCACATGGGGTTCTTTGGGAAAAAGGCGGGAGTACAGAAGTAATAACCGGATTCTGGTTCTTGCTCTGCTGGGCTGCAGATGCCCTGTCCTGTGACAGGAACCATATCTGATCATTACCTCATGAATAACATGCTTGCTTTTAATAGGTAAACTTGTGATATAAACACATCTGCACAAGCTGAGGAGATTGAAACTAAGTCATTGGCTGGGTTCAAACATCATATTAAGCCACACTCATGGGGTAAGTGTGGCTTATTGAACCATGGATACCATTCTTGAAATTGGTTTTGGCTTATTATGTTGCCTGAACCCAACCCTGATAAGAAACCATGGTTTGTTAACTACAAACAACCCATGAGGAACCTATAGTTTCTTGTTGGGTTGTGAACTGTGGATTGTTTGTGGTTAATGCATCATGAGCAGCTGGGATTGGACAGTATGATAAGCCACTGTTCAATAATCTACAGTGTTATAGCTGACAACTTTCATGCCTACTACAATTAACAGAATTTGTATGATCCTAAAATTAATAGTTGAAGTACTTTATTTCTACAGTCTTCTTGTGGAAAACCGCATGCACACTCTACTGTGCAAGCTATGTAAGATGGTGGGATTAATCTGTGCAGACAGCCGCAGAAGGATTCCAAGGTTATTTCCTAAGAGAACATTCCAAGCTACCTTACTGCAGGTGACATCTTTGAAGGTGATGACTCCTATTGGCCCATTTAGTATGCAGTGAAAACTCTGATATTGACTTTTAATGTGGGTTATCATAAAGCCACATTGTACTTTCTATACAGCAGGGGCAATAATAACTCAAACAAACAAACCTTCTGGCCATAGTTTGGCTAACATCCAACATGTCAGATAAAAACCCAGCAACAATCCATGGACTCTTTCTGTGGTTTGTCATGGAAGAGACAAACCAGGGCTTCAGGTTTGCACATACCACTAACTTAACTATGGGCAAAAGGTCCATGAGTAATTTAGCTGCTCTTGCATACTGTGGGAGAAATTGGGCAGCATACACCAGCATGCTGGCTCCATCATGATACACAATCTTTCTGTGCAAACTGGGCCACTGAGTCAAAACCTTGGAGCCATCTATTCCAGAATTACCTGTTCTGCCTAAGGCCTTCCAAGAGATGAGATATTTCAATAAGAGATGTCTTCTGCATACAAAGCTTATTTCTATCACTAACCCTCACAACCCTCTCCAAAGTATCCATGGCTGCAACGTTTTGAGAAAAAAAACACGCACAAGGGGAATGTTTTGCTGATGTGGTTGTCCCCACCGAATTAGAAACTTTGAGAATTGGAAAAGCACTTGAGAGCATGGAATCTCTGGGCAATCATCCATAGAACCATGGATTTGCAAAACGCATGGTTGCTACCTAGTGGCCGCTCAATAAAATTACTACTACTACTACTACTACTACTACTACTACTACAAAACCTTCATATTTAGAGTATTCGACAGCATATATCTTTCCCAGTAGCTGGTAGGATAAGATAAGCAGGAGGGGTTGTGGAAAGGACTTGCAGCTCCAGTACTAGTTATCCTTTTACTACTTCAACGCAGAGGAAGATTTTGAGTAGCACTAATGTTAGAGTGATATGAGATGTCAAGTTTCTTCTGGATTTGCTACAACAAGATTACTAAAAAGGGGAAAAAGATATCCAGTTATTGCCATATTGAGATTTCTACTAGCAGGCATGGGCTCGTTTTAGAACCTTTGATGCTTGATGGGGATAAGATAAACTGAGTAGTTCAGGGAAGGTGTGTAGTGGTTAAGAGCCTGGGACTGCGACTCAGATGATCTGGGTTCTAGTCCCCGCTCAGCCATGGAGCCAACTGGGTGACTTTGGGCCAGTCACAGACTCTCAGCCTAACCTACCTCACAGGGTGGTTGTTGTGAGGATAAGATGGAGGAGGAGATGTAAGCTGCCTTGAGCCCTTTGTAGGAAAAAGGCAGGATATAAACCAATAAAATAAATAAATAAATAAATAAATTCTATAAGCTCAACTGTTAAATAACCTGTGAAAGCCCTGCAAGAGGGGAAGACGCATTGGCCTACAAAATCAGACCTTTAGGATGCCATCTTATCCATATTTCCACACAAATGCCCTAGGAATTGTAAGTAATGTTAGAAAATGACCTGGCCACCCTGCTGTCCATGGGCTGTCATAAAGCTACAAGGACCCCATTCTTCGTTGCATCTAATCTAATCCTCTTGGCTTAGCCAGCTTTTGCCAAGATGTACTTCACGTTGTGTTGGTCCTTCGCTTGCGTCTTTCTTCCAGAGGTTTTTTCCAGGCAGAAAAACACAGAGCTTTTCAAGAACGTTGCAATGTAGTCCGCATTATCTCCTATTCAAAGTTGAAGATAGGGCTAATGCTGAGAGTGTAGTATACGACCCTGCCATGTAGTCCAGTACTGCAACGCCCGCACTGCAGTTGTCTACAAGGCTTTTACAAGACTCCTACACCTTTAATATATCAGGTCAGCTATGAGGTTGGGGCTGGAAGAATTTGCAGCATCAAATGCCCAAACAAAAGGGCCCCTATAGCAAAAATCGCTTGCAACTAAAATCGTCGTGTCCCCATGCGTAGGCTGCAGAATCGTTGGACTCTTACGACTGCAAACCTATACTCTTAGCTGAAAGAAACTTCTTTCAAGTTAGAAGAACTTACTTCTGAGTAGACAAGTAAACATTAAACTATAAACGAAAAAAACTCCAAAATCACAAGAAATAAAGCACATCTTAGGAAATATAAAGACTCGTGTCTACGCTGCAGGTTTTTGGTTTTTGCTACACAAGGTCAGGCATTGTCTAACCCTGAGTGTTCTCGTTGAATGCTAAGCGGGAAGAGAACCCAGACATTAATGTAAGCTGTCGCTCTACACTTTTAGTATCTCTTGGGGCTACAACGCTTCCATTTAAGGAAACCACATGGCGCTCTCATCTACATCGTGTGACGTCAGGGGGCGGGGCTGAGGTGGAGGCAGGAGAGAGTGCTCACGTGAGAGAGCGGCTGAAGCGGTCACGTGGCACTCGTAAGGCAGTGGAGGCAGAGGCTCGAATCCTTATGGCAGGGGCCGGTTCTGCTGGTTGCTTGCAGGAGCGGCTTGCGGTGCTCAAGGAGAGATTGCGCGGTTGGAGCAAATACCGAGACTCCGGTAAGAGGAGCTGCTCGGCACGTGGCACGTATCCCGTTGGGAACTTTGGGCCGAACCTTAGCCCCCCTTTTTCCAATTCTAGGAAATAGGTTTGGAGCAAAAGGAAAAACTAGAGCTTTTGACTACAGTCCCCATTATATCTGGCCAACGGCCACGTTGCTGTGGTCGATGAGAGTTGTAATTCAAACAGTTCGAAAGGGCTGTTCACCTTGCGGAGGCTGCACTAGGACAAGGACTGGGTGGAACTGCTCCTTTACTCGTTTTCACTATTGCCCACATGCGGTGCGAAATTCTTGCTCTGCAAGCGGGGCTGAGCGCACACTTGAATTTAATGATGCTTTTGAGGCTGGATTGATCTCTAGTATGAGGGAGGGAGGGGGCTTTAATGCTTCGTCCTTGGCCATGACCCTGAACTGGGTTGGAGGAACCTGCCCTTGCAAACAATGTTGTTGCAAAATGACCCACTGAATCCAATGCACTGCTGCCCAGAATGCAACAGTAAGGTAAATGGAGGATCTCTTTCTGCTGCTCCAATGCAGACCAGTGAACAAGTGGCAGTAGTGAGAATGAGAAACAGAGCTAGTAGGCTTTGCAGATCCCTGTGGATACCAAATGTGTAGCTGTCAGCATGTGCCCTATTGCCTCTGGTCTGTAGAACTGCAGCCTGCCCTGTGCAAGTGTAGGTTTATGGTAAACCAGACTCCAACGCTCCAAAGGAATTAGTCACTTTACTCCACTCCTCACTTTGATAAAGTACTTGCTGAATGTACAGTTTCTGTGTTTCCTCCCACTCCTTAAGAACATAAGAGAAGCCTAGCTGGACTGGAACAAAGGCCCATGCAGTGCAGCATTATCTTTTTTCACTGCAGCAAGGAGATGCTCCAGAAAAATCCTGCTCCTGTTCTTCTACAGCAACAGGTTCCCCCACTCTTAGGTTTCTGTGCCAGAGGCTTTCTGATGTTAATGGAAATAGGGTGGCTAAATATTGATTGCATAGTTAATTTAGTTATGCCTTAATATGAACTTCATTCTCCCTTCTACAGATGACTTCCTAACACAGGCTTCTATTACACTGGAAAGCCTGACAGAGCTTTTGGAGGAACCCATAGAAAATTCCACACTTCCCAGATTTGTGCAGCTTTATACACAGGTATTGTGAAGTAAGACATTTTCTGCATCTTGGACTATGAGCCCAGTCATGCATTTCATTGAACTCAAAACCTTTAACTCATAGTGCTTAGCATCAAACTAAAAATGCTTAGTATAGGGGCATGAGAGATATTATTATTAAGTTTATTTCTCTACCACCCAATAGCCAAAGCTCTCTGGATGTGTACAAAAATTAGTAAAATACAATATAAAATTTAAATGGTCAAAACAGCACAAAATTTCATTATAAATTTAATTTTAACAACTTAAACAGATAGGTCAGGGTCATATAGCTCAGCTTGCTAAAACAGCTGACAGTACTCTCTCTTACCCACAACACTGTTTCAAGCTATTAAATGCCTAAGCAAAGATTATAAAGTTGCGCACCAGGCAAGCTTCAGACTTCATGTGAAAGAATAATTAGGAGTATGAAGGAAATGCATTTTACAATTGACCTGAATAATGATGTCACCTGTGTTGAACTGGAATGAAATTAAAATGAGTGGCACTGGGAATTAAGCTTAGGTATGGGCAGCCCAGTTTGTGAACCAGTTTTCAGTGACCAGTTAACATCTGTTGCCTGAGATGCAGTTGTTAGACTTGGTGACGGAACTTAAAAAATGAGTTTGATTATTTGTGACTGCAGTTGTGATTCCGTTGCTTTCATTTGCTTAAGGCTGCTGATACGCACTCTTTCTGCCTTGATAATTTTGTGGTTTGATCAGTATTGACCAGGGATCTCCATCATGCCACCAGTGAGTCCCCATAAAGCAAGACTTGAGCTATTCTCCAAGCTATTCTTCCCCTTGCAAGTGAATATCTCTGGCAGGACTGACCTTCCCTCTCCCTCCACCTGCATTTCCAGCAGGGATCCTTCTTTCCCCCTCTGTAGATAAATTGAGTAATTGCTCTGTACACTCCCATGGGAGATAGAGAAGCACCTAGTGCGCACAGTGATGCACACCCTGCTCAACTTCTTCACAGTTTTGCGATTGGTTTGCCGTTCGTCCGCAGCAGCCAGTGTGGGTGGTGTCAGAGCACTTTCTTAAAATGCCAAATGCTGCCCATGGGCTCAAAAAGCTTGGAAAATCCTGATGTAGATCACTTGTGCTTTAAACTTACTTTGGGGATAGGGACTTGAAAAAAAATCATATGAATTAAAAAAGCAAGATAATCACCTTAGATTTGCTCAGATTGCTTTGCTTTCTTCCTTATACTACTACTGTTAATATGACTAGAATATCTTAAGTGGTTGATAAATACAGCTGTAGTTAGTACATAACAATGTGTGCTAACATTATTTAGCAACAAGTACATAATGCTAGCACACAGAGAAGCTGCCTTTTATTTATTACATTTATATTCTACCTTTGTCTTTCAAGGAACTCAAGGCAATTTACATAATTCTTAATTTTATCCTCACAACAGCCCTATGAGGTAGGTTGGGCTGAGAGTCTGTGACCAGCCCAAACTCATCCAGTGAGCTCCATGGCTGAGTGGGGGCTAGAACCCAGAGTCCAAGTCCAGCATTCTCAACCACTACACCACACTGACTCTCTTTGATCAGGTCAGACCATGTCCCTGATCAACACACTGCCAGTAAATATTGGGTTAATCTACTCACAGTTTGCATTGGTGCACATCGCTTCCACTTGGCACAACCAGTTGTAGATTGTTTTCCGATGTGCAAACCTGAGCAGTTGTAGGTTAATCAACTGTTATGCACAATTGCTTGGCCATCTATCCCAGCCTTCTCCAACCTAGTATCTCCAGATGTTTTGCACTGCAGCTTATATTATCCTTGACCATGGTGGGAAGGGAGGTAGGGTGAGAAGCATCTCGAGATGGCCAGTTTATGGAGACTCGTGCCACTGAATGGTCTCTACTCTGGCTAGCAGTAGCTGATAAGAGAAACTGTGGAGTATGCTGTTTGTCCCTTTGCTTTAAATTGTATTGAACTTGAGACCTGCTGTACACAAAATGTGTTATACTACCAAATTGTGAACCTTTTCAGAAAAGCCTTATGGTTCATGAGTTGCTTCAAGGAATTGGATCAGTCTGGCATGTCAATGTAGAGAGCAGTGAACAGAGAGTATTGCTGTCAAAATCCTAGGAGACGTATCAGGATTTCATGCTCTAGAACCCACATAAGGAAGGCCTGATCCATAATCCTAAGCATTTGATGATTGGCAGTGGTAATTTTGCCTGCTCTGTAAAGGTTTTATTTCTGATTTCTGTATTCCAAGATGCAGCCTTGACTTGAAGAAGGGATTACAGGGTGCACGCCAGTGATTGTGCAAACTGAGTCCAGACCATTCCAGAGCTTAGTAAACCCTTCCCTTGCACTTATTTTAGTATCTGGTTTTAGGAATCCTTGAGTAGTAGAGGAAGGGGAGAAAGCACATTCAGGCCAGCTTAAATGTTACTTAATTTTCAGTGATTTTACCTAGCAACAAGGTGCAGCATCAGCAGGTTGCAGCTCACAGGGCTTATATTTTTTCCCCATTCCTAAAGGCTGTGCTGGATATCACATACTTTGAAGAAAACCAGCTTGTTGATGAAGAATTCCCAGAAGAGTCCTCACTGTGGAAAGTTGAGGATATAATCCGTGCACTTTCAGAACCCGAAGTCTTGGTCAATGAGAGCAGTGCATCCCAAGAAGTGAGTAGCAAAGCATGATTGCTATTTAAAAGGAAAAAATCATGTGCAGTACAAAAAATCCTAACTAAAATGAAACTCTCAATGTCAACTGATTTTTCCAATTCCAGTTGTGTTGGTCTCCAGTGAACATTTTTAAGCTGATCTTAATAGCATCAGTGAAACTGACAAAGCTTCTTTTAGGGCAGCTAATGCTCCTGAACATAATTCAGGGAAAGAAGTACAAAGAGAAAAGACAGCTGGGGATATGTGTCATGGGACTGTGTGAATAATACAGTCATCGTTGACACTAATAGGGGCTTGGTTGTATTCACTATATAGTTGTAAAAAAGGAGTGGACAACCAGTGGTACAATGGCTGTGCACTTTTGCTAGCTACACGTCCATGCAGATGATAGTGTGGTGGGGAAGTTGGAGTAGTTGAAAAAGGGAGGCGAAAATGCATGGGCCATCCATTTTTAACACTGGCCCTACACATTGCAGGCTCTGGGCTCGCCACCTGTGATGTGGCACCTGACAGATTACTCTGAAAGGAAATGCAGCTCTCTTAAAAAGGATTCCCTGCTCCTGCTTTGAAAGAGTTGTCTTAGAAACAGTTGGGCTTGCTGTATATTGGGGACCTATGTTATTGTAAGGCTAGCATGGGTGTATTTTGAAAACCTGGTTCCCTTCCATTAGCAGACATGAAACTCTGCCTGTAGGTCCTGGATATGCTGTGTTTATCTCATCACGGCTCAAGCTCATACATTGATGTCAATGGGTGTTTTTCTCCATTTTTAGCCATTCACACTACTTAGTACAGAGCTACTTGAATGTCTTTATTGGAGAAGAGGAGCCTTGCTGTATATGTTCTGTCACACACTTAAAGGAAGGAAAGAATGGTTGACAAAGAAGGTGGATTTGCTTAAAAAGGTATGTGCCCTTTCCTTTAAAAAGCTGTCATGGGCCCACTGAAGCTCTCACTTGGACAACAGGTGTCTCCCAGAGGCCTCCATCTATAGTGGGTGCACAGCATCACTGCTTGGCTGGGAAAGGGAAAGGCCTTGGCCACCCCTGAAGCCAAAATGGCTCCTGCTGAAAAAGATGAGGAGGATAAGTGATATAGTGCATGGCCTCCTAAACATTATCTCCTCTCCTTTAGTTTCTTCATGAAGGGATCCATTACTTGGTGAAGATGCTCGAATTTAGATGTCCAGATACTCCAAATGAGGAATTCGAATCTCGAGATGCAGCCACAGCTAGACTGGTGCATGAAGGTAAAGCTTCAGTGTGGTGCTACCCCCACCTTCTTTGAAAGTTTCACATAAAAGAAGCATGAATAAGGAGCAAAGAAGAATGATTTGCAACTGTTAAACCAGTGGAGAAAGAATAGAGGCCATGTCCCACTAGTTGTCTGTCAGATGTGGAGCAGTAGTGACCAAGTTGGGCTGGAGTTCTGGGTTCTTGTCCCCACTCTGCCATGAAACGCACTGTTGGATTTTGGCCCAGTCACAGACTGTTGTAAAGATAAACGCAGAAGAGAACTTTGGAAGCTGCTTTGGTTCCTTTGAAGAAGAAAGGCAGTGTATAAATGAAATGTAATAAGAATAACAGTCCTTTGCATTCAATGTTCCTGATGGAAACCAGTTTATTTGGCAGTAAGTTTCTAGCTTCTGTTGCAGCTTATATCGCATTGTAGTCTGTGAGCCTTTAGTCTAGCTTTTGCCAAGCTGGTGCCCTCCAGGTATGCTGGACTATAGCATGTAGCATATACTTGTAAATATAGCTTATGCAGTTGTTAATGAAACTGGACTTACAGCAGGGGTGGACAATATGTGCATTCTCCCAGATTTTTGTGAAGTTCTCACTGACCTGAAATTCCCACATGCCAGTGGGAAAAGCCCATTTTCAAAGGGAAAAATGGGCTTCCTCATGGCAAGAGTGGCTATTCCAATGCAAAATACGCCATCTTTCCTGCCCCATACATTTGAATATGGGGACTTGGTGCCTGTGTGATCCTTATTGGGGGTCTGAGGGGCAACATGACCCTACAAACCTGAGAAGTTGCCACTCCTGACTGGCCTACAGTCTTCTCTGCTGAGACCAATTTAATTATTTTATAATTTTCACCCAAGATTGACTGCTGAAGTTGTTTACAATTAAATTACTCAATAATATTGTAGAGGCAATCATTTCTGTTAGATGTATTTGGATTTGGGGAGCTTGCTCACAAAATATGCAGGTACATTCAGTTCAAAGCCCTGAACGCAAGCACAAGTGTGAGTATGTATCCATTCCCATCTTGAAACCCTTGGTATTGGATGGGATATAAATGTTTTAAATAAATGAATTCAAGTCCAATTTGCACAAATTTCCTCCATAGACTGTTTTTGTCTGTAGAGAAATGGCACAAATTTCAGGAGAACTGCATGAATCACAGCTTGGTTTCCACAAAGCCCTTGTTCATACAGAGCAAGCAGAAAACAGGAATCAGGTACAAGATGAACCATGAAATGGTGAAATCCAGGTGATTCAAACATTGCTTGTTTTCCCATCCCTCCTTCCTTGGCAGCCAGAAGGGATTTCTGCATATCCAAATTTTTATTCCACTTGAACTGTGTTTCCTCCCCTTTGGCAGGTATATTCAGTGATACTCATCTACTGGCCATGATGTACTGTGGAGAAATGTGTTACTGGGGACTGAAATACTGTGCAAAAGAGAAAGAACAAACACAAAGTACAGAGTCAGAATTGACCAGTAACCTACCCAGCGGTTCGCACATCAAGGTTCTGGATTTTCGAGAGACAGGAGAGAAAATGTTGCAGAAATACATCAGTGTATGTGAAGGACCCTTAAGACTGCATGACTGGGATACCAAAAATGCAAAGCTTATATTGGACTATTTTAAACAGCTAACAACCTAGTTGACTTAAAACACACAATGTATGTACTTTTCTACAGCAAAGCATGATTAAACTTGGAAAATGTGCCTCTTAATTGTGTGATTTATAACTTAAAATCCAGCGTTTCAGAACACATCCTGACTTAAATTGCACAAAAATGTTGGAATGATTGTACCAGCTACTGTACGATGATCCTTCAAAACTATTCCAGGAAGTAGCATTTTGCAAAAGTACTTTCCCTCAATTTAAATAACTGAGACTATCAACAGAGTGAGGTGTTTCCTTCATTTATTGCAATAGACGGGAATCTCTCCAATGTACAAACGTACAAAGCAGCTCCTTTGGCCCCTCAATCTGTTCACCACAGCCTTCTCCTTTTCCCTCATTGGGCGAGGTACTAGGAAACTACAATCTTTCCATCTGCCTAGTTCATATTCCCTGTCTCATCCCATTACACACATCAACTTTGCATTATAATTAGTTTACTGTCTATTCAAGGTGAGTTAATAGCAACCTATTACACCTGCATACTTAGTAGTTCACTCCTCTAATTTCACCTTGCCCTACGACCCCGTCTCATAAAACTACTGGGAGGATGAGATAGGAAGTAGCATGCTTTCTTTTCAAGCCAATTATCATTTCTCAACATTCCTTCAGAAATACTTCATGACTTGGTTATTGCTGGCTCATCACTGAGTTTATTTCCTTCACTTCTGATTTAGTTTTCTAAATTTTGTTGGGTTTTGATATGCCCAAATTTTCTTCAGAAGCACCGTTAAGGGACAGGAAGGAATAGAGCAGGGACTGTTTGGATTCCAGCTTTTGCAAAATGATCTTCAGTGTTCAGGATTGTGCAAAAATCAGTTTTGCACCCCCAACTACTCTGGACAGTATCTAGTGTTAGCTTTAGAGTACACTTATTAAAATGCCTGGAACTTATTTGAGTAATGTAAATCCTGTTCAGTTGGAGGGGTTTATAATGCTCAGGACTAACATTAGATACTGGAAAGATGGGTGCATCTTACTGTATCTTTACAGTATTTAGCAAGCACAAAATACAGATACATCTTAGTTTTTGAGGTTTTATTACCAAACCCCTCTCCAGCTCTGCGAGGTTAAGTCATGTAACATGCAACCTAGAGCAAGGTCGACACCGGAAACAGTCCCAGCATGCCATTTTTCCGTTTCCACATAGCACAAGATTGCGTGGACAGTGAACTATCTCGAGGTTGCGCAAAAGTGGGCAAGTAAACTTGGCATCAGGTGGAGCCGGCCGGAGAAAAGGCGTGGATGAGCCGCCAAAGAGGCGGAGCCGGCCAACTCTACAAAGCGCGCCATCCCGATGCGCGGGGACCGCGCGCCGGGGCTCTGCGAGAGGGCGATCCAGCGCGCACATCCTGGCGGGACTCTCTTCCGAAGGGCGGGCAAGGAGCGCGGCAAGCGGCGTGGCTTGTGATCCCCGCCTCCCTCCCTCCATCTCCGGCATCGCGTCATGGCCACGGGCAGCGGCGGGGACTGGCGGCGCTTCGAGGCCGCGCTGCGCAGCAGCCTCCGCCTCCTGCGGGACAAATGGGGACCTCCGGAAAGGCTGCCGGCGAGGAAGGGCGAGTGCGCACGGCCAGCCCGCGGCGACGGGGAGGACGAGCAGCCGCAGCAGCAGCCCAGCGCCTTGGAAGCCCTGCCGGTGGGCGTCTCCGCCCCTGCCCCTGCCCGTACCGCGGTCCTTCCTGCCGTCGTGTGAACGGCGGCGCTGGACAAGCGTCCGGGGCCCCTCCGTCCTGCTGCTGCCGCTTCTGGAGGTGACGAGGCTTTGGGACGGTCCCGCGCCGATCCTTCCCTCGCACTCTCCCGCGGCCACCCGGTGCCGCGGGTTTCGCTTCCGTAAACAGCGGGTGACGTTGTCCACGCGTCCCAGCAAGCGCGCTTGCTCTTTGGGAGGACAAGTGTTGTCGCGGGGAAGGGGCGGCCTGGGTGAGCGCGCCCTGCTGGCTTTCTGCTGCAGAGGTTTTGCCGCGCGGTGCTTTCTTTGCAGCAGGGCTAACACCTGAATAGCTCCAGGTGTAATGCTGGTCGATCATGGGGAAATGTGAAAAGAGGAAAGGGGGTGTTTCTAATAGGGGACTGTTGTTTAACCCATTCCAGCACGTGGCCATTAAAATAACCTTGGCACAATTTTGAAAGTATGCTTTGCTTTTTTAAAAGAAAAACATTTACGTGGGACTCCTCTTTTCTGAAACTTCCCTATAGATTAATTTGTGTGGGATTCATTGTTTCTTACTTTTTTCAGATAGATGTGAAGTTATACATCATGTCCTTCCTCACACCAAAAGATCTGAGCTATTTGGGAAGCACCAACCGCTATTGGAGGCTAGCAGTCCAGGACCCCTTGCTATGGAGATATTTTCTGTTTCGAGATCTCTCTTCTTGGCATTCTGTTGACTGGAAGTCACTGCCAGATCCAGACATATTTAATAGATCGTTTGCTGAGCTACATGACAGTTCTCTGTGTGACTACATGGCTGTGTAAGTACCTTCTCACATAGAGGCAATTTGTAGTGCTGAAGAATTTGGTGCACTGCATTTCCCATTTATTTATTTATTTATTTGTTTGTTTGTTTGTTTATTTAAAAGATTTGTATGCTGTCCATTACTGTTGTCTCTGGATGGCTTACAAAATTACTTCAGAATAAAATTAATTAACTATTTCACGCAGAGCCTTATTTAAATAAGTCATATCACTAAAATTATGTGTTAAAATATTGGCCGAATAAAAAGGTCTTGACCTGGCACTGAAAAGCATATAATGATGGCACCAGGCAGATCTCTCTAGGGAGTGCATTCCATAGTTGGGGCGCCACTGCAGAGAAGGCCCTCCTCCAAATACTCTGCCTCCTAACCTATTTCAAGGAGGGTTCCCGGAGGAGGGCCTCTGCTGCCGATCTTAGGGGGCGGGAGGGCAAGTAGGGAAAAAGACGTTCTTTTGGGTATCCTGGTCCCAAGCCATTTAGAGCTTTATAGGTAATAACCAGCACCTTGAAATGAGCCTGGACTTCGATGGGAAGCCAGTGGAGCTGATAGAGGACTGGGGTTATATGAGAATAATGACCAGTCCCCGACAGCATCCTGGCAGCTCTGTTTTGCACCATCTGAAGTATCTGGACTGTCTTCAAGGGCAGCCTCACGTAGAGCGCGTTACAGTAATCCAAACGGGAAGGAACCAGTGTGTGTGTCACTAGGCAGTTCTCCAGGTAGGGACGCAGCTGATAGATTAGCCAAAGCTGAAGGAAAGCGCTCCTTGTCCCCACTCAGTAGCCAAAACAGTAGCATGTTTACCTGCTGCAGTTCAAAGCAGCTTAAGTGAGTAAGGCAGTTGCCATCCTCGGGCTTACAGCCTGCGGCAGGGGTCCTAAAATGTTTTCACCAGGGGGCCAGTTGAAAGGTGCCGGTGCCGGGCGCGGGCCAGCGAGAGGCGGGGGTGGCATGCGCGGGACGCGCGGCTTGGGGAGGCGAGGCACGGGTGGGGCGGGCGCACGAGGTAGCAGCTTGCTCGCTCGGAGATCATTTTCTCTGAGCGAGCAAACCGCTGCCTCTCCACGCGCAAGATGAGGTGCACGGCGGTGGGTGCGGGCGTGCATGAGCCACATCCAAATGGGCATGGCGGGCCGGATAAGGGCTCCGGGCCGTAGTTTGAGGACTCATGGTCTAAGGAATCAGGAAGAGGAAGAAAAATGCAAAACTTGGGCCTCCAGGTATTAATGCCAATGTTCTGGTGGCAGGAGAAGAGCAAACAAGCTCTCGGTAACTGTTCCCTCTTGAGCTGACGCATGAGGCCAAACTGGTCCCCACACTGCCATAGTATTTATTCTGGGAAGCAAGGATGCGCCCCTCCAGGAGCCCTTGGTCTAATATGTATCCCTCATTTCCTAAATCTTAGTTTATCGTGGGCTCCCAGTGCTATCCTATCCTTGCAGTTATCTTTTCCCTTCATACATAGCTTCGATTGAGATACAGCATTGACTTCTTTTCTATGCTCTCTCTGGAGGCCTTATTTATTTAAACCTTTTGTAGCCGTCCCTTATGCATGGTATCTCAGGGTGGCTTACAGTCATTAAAACAAGCACAATAAAACAGCAATCTTAGCATAATAAATAACAATTAACCAAAAATGCAAATTAAATAAGTTAAATAAAAGTGACTGTTAAACATTATAATTTAAATTAGTTTTTTAAATAACAATTAAAAAGTGTATAGATGATGCTGGAAATGTGTGCCACCCTTTAAGACTTGCCAGCTGGATTTTATTATTAAGTTGTTGTTTTTTCAACAAAGGTATAAGAAGTGCTGTTCCAGTCGCAAAAGGTCCCCAACGTCCACTTATGAAGCCTTGACTTCCTTCTTACAGTCATTGATCTCACAAGCAGAGCCTCGCTTTGCAATGTTTGGGCCAGGTTTGGAAAACTTGGATGAATCTTTGGTTCATAAAATGATGACGAATCCAGAGATTTTGCCATCAGCTGCTATATCTTCTAGACAAATACATGGTAATATAATTTTCTTCTTTCTTCTAACTAAGCAAGCAAAGAAAAACATACTGGCTGCTTTCTAGGCCTGCTATAGAAGATCCTTTAACCCATCCTTTTTTTATTTATTATATTTGTATTCCTCCTCTCTCCCATTGTGGAAGTGGTCTCCCCTCCCAGCTCAGGCAAGCCACAAACCTGTTTAGCTTCAACATGCCTCATGTAACTTCAGACTATATTCTGGATTTTCTGTTAGGCAACTCATCTAGAATTATACTGGATTCCTATTAAAGCGGTTGGTTATAATCTTTAAAGGCTACATGGCTAAAATATCTGAAGGACTGCTTCAGCCATATTATCCTGTTCTTGCGCCAAAATGTTCTGTGGAATCTCTTCTGCAAATACCATCAGTGGGAGATACACACTGCACCTTTACAAAGATCACCTTCTCTGTGGACGCACCCTAACTCTGGAATGCCACCTAAAGGAGATGCAATTGGTGTCCACACCATTTTCTTTATAGTGCCAAATTAAAAAGTTTCTTTCTGCCTTAAATTTAATTTATTTTTAAACTGAGAATAATATTCACATTTTGAAATGTGTACATTTTCTTCCGTGTTATGACATAGTAATGCTATTCGTATGTTGAAAACTGAACATTTTGGAACATCCCAAATGTCTGTCAGTAAAAGGTACTTTGCAACCATAATTTGAATAAGGAATGAATGAATAACTATGCTGAAAATCTTACAGAGAGGGTTTTTAAAAAGCACATGTCCAGACATCATTTAACTCTACTTTTTCTATATAAGTCTTCATTGCACTGTTTTAATATTTACAGAAGAAAGACTATGTAACAATACATGGACTCTTTGTCTGAAATTCTACGAGAAAATTTTTCATAACCCATACTAATTTAATTTTTCTTTCCCTGCATTTTTCCAATTACTTTCCAGGCCTTCATATTGCTAACTGTCACACCCAAGAATTCCTCCCCATCTCTATTCAGCGGGCTCTCCATTAGAGCTAAACATTGGGGAAACCTCAACCGGTGCTAATGCAGAGAGCCTTTTTGCTTTCTTTAACCTCCTCGTGGGAGTAGGGAATGGAGGAAAGGGCTGGGTAGGAAGGTAAAAGCTCCTCCTACCCATTTATGATGCATTTACACTATAAAAAGAATATCGTCAACACTTTTAACACAGCATGTCATTTAGGCAATTCCTTAAAAAGTAGTTGCGTGGCTGTATTCTGACCTTTGCAAGGACACAAATGGATCCTCAGGAATACATGTGGTTACCATTTTCTGTGTATAAGATGCTACTTTTTCTTAAAAACATTTACTTAGAAATGAAGGTGCGTCTTATACACGGGGGGCTGTGGGTGCACTGGGGGGGAGACTGGTGTGCATGGGGGAGATGCGCACAGGGGGCGGTGAGCGTGGGCGGGGGCAGCAAAGCAGCACTCGTGGGGGGCGCGTGGGGGGCGGTGCATGGGGGCGGCGTGTGCGGGGCGGGAAAGCGGTGCGCGTGGCGGGGAGGCGGTGAAGCGGCCTGTGCACGGCATCAGCTTGTTCGCTGGAGATGGGTAGGAAAAGTGGGGGGCGTCCTATACATGGGGGCGTCTTATAGATGAAAGAATACGGTATTTATATCCTGCATGTGATTTTTATCCCTTTTTTTCCTATTACAGGGATAGGATCAGGAGTCACATTTAATTTGAATAGCCAGAAATTCAATATTCTGACACTGTATTCCCAAACCAGGTAAGGATTGTTTTGCGGGGGGGGGGGGCAGTCAGGGGGATGTAAAGGCTATTTCATTAAGTCCTGTGTCTATGGAAGCATCTCTCAAAGAAGGCACTGGCCACAATCCAAAGCACTGCTTGACTTATTCCATGCACACAGCAAGAAATTGGGGTTGCATTTTTCAAAGGGCAATTCTCTCAAGATCCAATCTACAAGTGAATTATTTATTTATACTTCAGCTTGCAGCCTGGCTTAAATATAAACAAATGGCATTATTATTCCTCCTAAGGCACTAGTCCTCAGTTCTTTAAATCTAGAGCAGTTTTTCTGTCTTATTTCCCTTCTATACTTTTAGGTGTTTACAGGATTTATATGTTGCTCTGTTTCTAATAAGATTCTTGACTAGTGATCAGTAAACATTAAAAAAAAAACATTTAACTTCAAAGTATGCCAATAAAACCTTGGCTGGCCATTCATTCAGAGGAAAATGTCTTCAGCAAGGGCTGGAAAGAAAACTTGCCCATCTGATGAACAGGACGAAGTGGCATAGATAGAGTCTGAGTAGACTCCAAAAAGGACTACAGACTTGTATAGGAGCCAGGAGTGCCTAATCTGATTACTTCAGTGACCAGGCCAGGTAGTAAAGGAGGAGGGCTATTTTTCAAATATCTTGAAAAAGCTCGTCATCTTTCTTTTCAGCAAAGAAAGACGCAGAGCAAAGGAAGACAATAGCAACCCCATCAACAAGATGTTCCACGAAGAGAACAGCCTCGATGGGACAACACAATGCACTCTGATTGAACACATTAAAAACATGTGCAGGCTAATTGATGGGTTCATCTATGTTGCAGATGCTGAGGCTAATAAAAGTAAGGGCTTCTAAATGATGCCGGCACTTATCAAAGGATGTTTGCTGGTGCAGTTGGTAGAAGGTATTGAAACAAGGTCTCTCTTTGCAGGGCACAGTCGTCAAATTGAACGTGCTCGGATGGCAGCAATGCTTGATCCAACTCTTGGACCTTCAGGTAGACCTCTGCTGGTTTTGTCCTGCATTTCGCATGCTGGGACTGAAAGGATTCCTTGTATTTACATGGCACACCAGCTGCAGCTAAACCTCCTTGACCAACCATGGATGGTACCTTTATTTCTTTCTCCTTAAGTGTCTTTTCTGTCTTTGCATCATGAAGCTGATTAACATTAACTCCAGGAAGTACTTCTCCATATTATATAGCTAACAGTGCAATTGGATATATCAACAGTAAGGCACCAATTTTCTGTCGAGGTCCATGCTACCTTGGTTCAAACTTCTTGGAGTCTGCATTCCAGCAGCAGGTATGGCCATAACCAAGAGTGCTAGGCCTTGAAGTATATGTTACAGGTGTAACTCTTCCCTTTGTTCAGTACAGATTTGCATTCAGGCATTCTCCATCCCCAGCTTCTGCAAGATTTCTACCATCAGCACTGTAGTTGGTAGGATATGGCACACCAAAGAACTACCAACAGCCCAAGGCCAGGGCAGTGACAGGCATGGTCTAGAGAGAGCCTGGAAGTTTGCATTTTGCTTGCAGGCCAACAGTCCCTCACCCTGTCCATGTCCATTCACATATAAGTCTGATTAAGTTTATTGGGACTTTTTCACAGTTGAATGGATGCAGAATTACAGGTGAATTGCATAATTTGTACAAGATGTGGCCGAGTTAGTTGTTCGACTTGTTGCGATTTTTGTTTTGTTTCTGGAGGGTTGGACAAATTCATGGAAGATAGATCTACAGATAGCTATTACTTTCCATGGTATAGATAAAGGTTCCATAACATGCTGGGACCAAACTTCATGGAGAAACCCATATGTTTTCTTTGGTTTTACAGGTTCAGGACACTGAAGCTGCCACATTAGCTGGACTACTGGATGGAATTCAGTGGCTATTGGAACAAACTGAACATAAAAACACACAATGATCAGGAGGGATCGTTAAGAGGGCCAATAGACTTTTTGTTCAGCTTGCCTTATTTTAATGCCATTCTTGATGTGAGCACCATTTTTCTTTCTAATTTGATATGCTTCAGAAGTGACTGTTATTAAAAAGGATCTGTGCTGTCACACTCTATGCATTTTGAAATGTAGGTTTAAAAATACAAAAAGAGGGCAGCATCAGGGCCTGTTCCAGTCTTTTGACAGCCTTGCTATACCACTTGGTTAGCCTGTACCAGATGCCCCTTTCCCATGATAGGCTTATCCCAATGGTGGAACCTTTCTAGTTGGTGCTTGGTGGCTTCCATTTTTTACTTCCCATAATGCCTCAGGCATAGTTCTCAACATGTGAGGAAGACTATTGTTCTGTCAGCTAGCCATGAGTGCTGGAGAAATATACCAAAAGATATCTGGTGGGAAACCAGGCTTGGGTAGGGTTAAAAGAAATCAAAAGCACGGGCATAAGATGATGGATACCTGCTTGGCAATAGTATGGAAAGTTGTAATTTGAGTTGTAATTGATCCCATATGGAACACGAGTAAGCAGTAGCTGGAAAAACGGCAGATGTAATTTGAGGTTACATTAACAGAAGGATAGTTTGAAAATCATGGGAAGTAATATTTATTTAACATGTCTGTATCCTGCCCTTTACAGTGTCTCAGTGGCAATAACAGATAAATAAGATGCAGCATCACGATAACATAAAATCAGCATTAAAACAATACTAACTTTTAAAATGCTGGGAAAATAAAAGGTTTTGGCCTGGTGCTGAAATGAACCCAGCGTCAGTGCCAGGCACACCTCTCTGAGGAGCCCATTCCACAGCTGGGGTGCCACTACAGAGAAGGCCTTCTCCGGGTAGCCACTCTTCTGATTTCCTTCAAAGAGGGCTCCTGGAGAAAGACCTCTGCTCCAGATCTTAGGAGCCAGGCAGTTATATATGGAAGGAGGTGCTCCTTCAAATATCTAGGTCCTAAGCCATTTAGAGCTTTGTACATCATCACTAGCACCTTAAATTGGGCCCGGGCTTCAATCGAAAGCCAGTGCAGATGGTACAGGACCAGCGTTATATGTATACAGTGGTACCTTGGCTCACGAACTTAATCCATTCCAGGACTCCGGTCGTGACCCAAATTGGTCGTGAGCCAAGTTAAATTTCCCCATAAGGTTCAATGTAAATAAGGTTAATCTGTTCTGTAACCATTTTTTACTTGGGGGGGGTGGGGAGATGGCCGCGATCGTGCTGGTTGGTGGGGGGGAATGGCCGAGATTGCGCCCATCTTTCCTGCAGGAACACGCCCATGATCACGCCCGTCTTTCCTGCATGAATGCACCTGCGATCGTGGCCATCGTGGCCCCACTCAGAGTGGGGAGATGGGTGCGATCTTGGTCACCACCCAATGCAGAGTTTGTGACCCACATCAAAATTTTCATGAAATTTTTGTTTGCAACCCGATTTGGTTGTGAACCAAGGCTAGCAGGGACCACTGTATATCTGCTGGTCCTTGCTAGCAACCTGGCCGCTCTCTTCTGAACCAACTGAACTATCTGGATCGTCTTCAAGGGCACCCTAATGTAGAACGTGTTACAGCAGTCCGATTGTGAGGTTACCAGACCATGGGTCACTATTCCAAGGCCTGCTCATCCAAGTAAGCATGTAGTTGATGGATCAGCCAAAGCTGAGAGAAAGTGCTCCTCATCACAGAAATCATCTGGAACTCCAAGGATAACTCTGGGTCAAAAAGCACTCTCAGACTATGCACCCTGTCCCTTAGGGACGTGCAACCCCATCCAGAAAAGGATAAGGATCAGGTTGGTGGGTAATTAATCTCTGTCTTCTCTGGATTAGTCCTCAGTTTATTGACCATCGTCCAGCCCATCACTGCAGCCAGACACTGGTTAAGGACAGCCACTGCCTCACCTGGATCCGATGTAAAAGAGAGGTAGAGCTGGGTATCAGCATATTGATGACTCTTCAGTCCAAACCCCCAGATGACCTCTCCCAATGGTTTCATGTAGATGTTAAACAATGGGGGATAAAATGGAGCCCTACGGCACTCCATGGCATAACTGCCATGGCAAAGAACCATAGTCTCCCAGCACCACCTTCAGGAATCGGCCAGTCAAGTAGGAATGGAACCACTGCAGAACCAAGTGCCTCCAGAAGCATACCATGATCAATGGTATTGAAAGCTTCTGAGATGTCCAGGAGAACCAACAGGGATGTCCCTCTCCATGCACAGGTCTTCATGCAGGGCGACCAAGGCAGTTCAGTCCCATAGCCAGGTCTGAATCCAGACTGAAATGGGTCTGGATGATCAGCTTCCTCCAAGAGAGCTTGGAGTTGCCCAGCCACCAGCCACGCAAGCACCTTGCCCAAGAATGGGTTGTTAGTCAGTGGTCAATAATTGGAAGCGATCTCTGGGTCCAGGTTTGCCCTCTTCAGGATGGGTCTGATCACCACCTCCTTCAAGTGTGCAGGGACCAGACTCTGCCTCAGAGAGGCATTAACTACCTCCCAGACCCAGGTACACATCCCCTCCTTGGCTTTGATGGGCAGCCATGAAGGGCAAGGGTCGGACTTGCCCAAGCACCTTGTCCTCATCCTCAAGCTGCAATAACTGAAGCCTATCCAGCAATGGCTCTGGACACCTCCCGTTCCAGGATCATCTCAACCAAGGAGCACAATTTGTGGCAAATCTGAGCCTGGCGAAGTCATCACAGCGAGCTGCCGTGGTGCAGTAGGGGTAAGACAAAAGTAATAGTTCCACTTTGGTCTGCAGTAGGCACAGCTCACTTCAAATACTGTGTCTGCTTCTGGACACCACGTTTTAAGAGGATTCAGGCTAGAAACCAGGGCCTAGAAGGAAAAAAGCAGTATGTTTAGCCTTGAGAAAAGAAAAGTGTGTTATGGGGGATTCGTTAGCACTTTTTAAGTACCTAAACAGGTGTCACATGAAAGAGGAACAAGACCTGTTCTCTCTCATCCAAGATTGTTCACAAATATTTGTGAATATTTCTGGGTGACTTTATTTCTGAAAGCAAATGTCCTCCTCCCTGCTGTTTGTGCACCCCTTTTTACAAATGGGAGACAGCCTTTTTCAAAAGCACATATATGCAAAGAAATTTTAGAGCCTGAAGCAGCAGCCTCAGACAGGTGATTTGGAATGGCATGAAAAAGCAGAAAGTCATTCTGTGCTGGGGGCCAAAACAACCTGACTGGCTGTCTACTGCTGTGCCCCTTGACTAGGGTGATGTGGGAGGTTCTGTTTGCTGCTCTAAGGGAGGAAAACGTCTTGAGGACAGCCCTGGACGGTTACAGCTTCCGTGGACTGCAAAAAGGTAGCCAAGGGAAAGGATAAAACTGCAAGAAGACAGACTTGTGGATGCAGAAACATGTTCACAAAGCATAATGCTCCAAAGTAAATTTTACTGGGCTCAGTGGAATTTTACTCCTTCATAGCTACAACTTGCATTACCTACCCTGAGGATAGTTCCAATAGTTCAATCTAGAGAAATTTAGGGATTCGTAACTTTGGTAATTTAAAAGCAAAGAAAAAGAAAGGTAACTGTGCTAGTCCATTCAAAATAACAACTAAAAGCCCACTGTTTGGCAATATATTGGGAATTTTGGTTGGTCTTAATAAAGATACCCTACAGTACATTTTGGTACTTTTAAGAGTTGCATGATGGTGTGGTTGCTAGAAACGTAATATTGCAGCATTGGGTACAGAATTTTGGATTTCCAGAAATGTATTTTAGAATCCCAGGAGCTATTTGGTAGTAGCTCCCTCTGCCCCCCCACCAGGTCTGGGGCAGCAAAACAACATGTAGTCCTGAGAATCTCCCTCTCGTGCTGCTGTGTTTGTTGACTTACACCTGAGTAAATCCTCTTTATGTTTGAAGGGGTTTTCCTTTAGCAATTGTGTAAGTTTGCAACTTAGGAACATGGGTCATTATTACCTACAATGCATCCCCACCCTGCGCCTTGCCAGTGCGCCATGCTCACTTTGCAGTTAATCAGTAAATGCTTAAGTCGCTGCACAGCTCTTTGCGGGTCCCAGGATGTCCATCCTCCCCCTCTGGCCTGAAAGACCAAGGGGAAGTATGGGTAAGCATTACTGGTGCACATTTCTGTCCTTTAAGAAAGCAAGAAGTAAATTAACTTCCTTTCTATTAAATTATAGTAATTATCTCTAAATATGCACATATATTTGCAAAGGCAAATTAGTATTGCGAATTTCTGCAGCATTTTGTCCTATGAGCTTGTGCTCCCAATCTCCTATCTAGTACTGCCACTGCCAATGAATGTGTGTTAGACAAGGATTAAACAACCTTCATACAACCCATGCTCTGTTTTAAGGATATGCAGTCATTCTGTAATCTGTACTCAGTGAGTTCACCCAACACAGCAATGCCCAAGTGGGTTAGATACGCAACATGGCACCAACTGGCACTGTGGCTTATCTGACCCTGGTCAGAATTTTCCTGTACTCATCAGCTTCGTACTTCATTTCAGTGACAAGCTGTGTTTTTTCTGTGCTAATAAGGCATGCAGGCCAGAATTCCTTGCTTATCTGCAAAACTCATGGGATTACCTTTTGGGAGAACCAGTGTAAGCTGTGCATTATTCTAAGGATGTAGCAGGGAGAGGGAAATTTGAAGGGCCAAGCTTGTAGAGTAGAAATGGGAAAGCTTGTGACCCCACATTCTTCAGCTATTGGCTATGCTGGCTCAAAACTGATAGGAGAGGGTCCAACAGCCTCTGGAAGAGCAGTTTCCTCACCCCTAATGTATTGGAGAGCTGATGTACACGTGAGCCATCATCCTCTGGCTTGCAGAAATAATTCATATCTGCAGCATGGAATTGGAAGAGGAGCCACCAAGCCAGTGGAAAGGTGCCTAAAAACAAATCCTAGTTTAAGTAATGGTAAGCAGTGCCAAATTTTGCTTCATTTAAAGCCCACTTCCTCAGTATTTGGAGACAGCTCCTGGCAATGCAGTAAGGACAAAACAAAGTAGTTAAAATAAGCCAAGAATTAAAACATACAACCCCAATAGCCAAGCAGCAAATTGTCTTTTTAAAAAAACAAAAGGAAAATATGCCAAGCCATCAGGCTTCTATAAAAC